CCCCTACTCAAGCAGGAGACCCTTACAGAGTAAGAGTTTGAAGGGACTTTGGAGGTCATTTAGTCCAGCCCCCTGCTCAACCAGGAGAGACCCTTGCAGAATAATAGAGTTGGAAGAGACCGTGGAGGTCTTCTAGTCCAGCCCCCTACTCAAGCAGGAGACCCTTGCAGAATAACAAGAGTTGGAAGGGACCGTGGAGGTCATCTAGTCCAGCCCCCTACTCAAGCAGGAGACCCTATACACCAGTTCAGACAAGTGACTGTCCAGTCTCTTCTCAAAACCCTCCAGTCACGAAGCACCCACAGCTTCTGGTGGCAAGCAGTTCCACTGGTTAATTGTCCTCACTCTTAGGAAGTTTCTCCTCAGTTCCAGGTTGCTTCTCTCCTTGATCCGTTTCCAACTGTTGCTTCTTGTCCTGCCTTCAGGCGCTTTGGAGAATAGACTGAACCCCTCATCTCTGCTTATGAGCAGAATCCGCACCCCATCCATCGTTCAGTCCCCGCTTACCCAGATGCCCGTGATTGCAGGCCTCGTGAAGTGGGGTCCATCCGCAATAGTCCCGGGGGTTTACAGGGTGCTCCTGACACAGAAAGAGGATAGTAAAGCTGGAGGAAGAGGCTGAGGGTTTGGGGCTGTAAAAGGAACTTTTTTTTTTATTAATTCAATCAAACTTTGCCCTATTGCTCCCCTCTGTTGGAAACCATCTTGTAGGTTTTAATTTTAATTTCTCCTTTCAGGGGGGAGCCACAGTTCTAACTAACTTGTAAGCAGGAAGGAGGAAAAAATAACATCTGCAGAAATTTCACAGCTTCCCTTCTGAATACTAATTCTAGATCAGGGTATCCAACCTTGGGAACTTGAATACCGGTGGACTTCAACTCCCAGAATTCCTGAGCCAGCCATGCTGAGGGGAAATGGAGCAGTTTCCAAGCTGAGCCAGGCTGGCTCAGGAATTCTGGGAGTTGAAGTCCACGAGTCATAAAAGGGCCAAGTTTGAAGACTCCTGTCTTAAATCTAACAAACAAAATGGAGACTGACTGAGGAATTCTGGGAGTTGAAATCCACCAGTCATAAAAGATCCAAGGTTCCTCACCTCTGGTCTAGGGCAGGCAACCTTGGCTCTTTTATGACTCGTGGACTTCAATTCCCAGAATTCCTGAGCCAGCCATGCTGAGGGGAAAGGGAGAGGTTTCCAAGCTGAGCCAAGCTGGCTCAGGAATTCTGGGAGTTGAAGTCCACCAATCATAAAAGGGCCAAGTTTGAAGACTCCTGTCTTAAATCTCACAAACAAAATGGAGGCTGGCTGATGAATTCTGGGAGTTGAAGTCCACCAATCATAAAAGGGCCAAGTTTGAAGACTCCTGTCTTAAATCTCACAAACAAAATGGAGGTTGGCTGAGGAATTCTGGGAGTTGAAGTCCACCAGTCATCAAAGGGCCAAGTTTGAAGACTCCTGTCTTAAATCTCACAAACAAAATGGAGGCTGGCTGAGGAATTCTGGGAGTTGAAGTCCACCAGTCATCAAAGGGCCAAGTTTGAAGACTCCTGTCTTAAATCTAACAAACAAAATGGAGGCTGGCTGAGGAATTCTGGGAGTTGAAGTCCACCAGTCATAAAAGAGCCAAGGTTCCTCACCCCTGGTTCCTTCCCCCCCCGCCATTCTCTAGGTAGAGAGAAAAGATGTGGGCTTGAACTAGACCCGAGAATGGGGTGCCTCAGAAGGGGAACAGCCCCCTCTCACCTGCTTCAAGCACAAGGTTCCCCTCCCATCCCTCAGCCATCTTGTTCCCTGCAAGCCCAAGACTGGACTTGGGCATTTTATAACCCCGGGGTCACCTCCAGCCCTTTGGCTGTCCCCGTCCGGCCTGCGTGAGGTCAACTAGAAATTAGTATATAAAATCTAAATAAGCTGGGTGTTGGCGACAGAGTTACGTTCAGCCTCTTGGTTTGGCCTTCCATGACAGCCACTCGTGAAAATTCCCTGCTCCAAGACTGACCTTCTCCAGAAAAAACTGGACTTGGCGCAAATTCCCTTCGATGCAGGCGCGGTGCAAAAGCGTCTCGCCCTTGTCGTTCCGCTGGTTCCACTGAGGAAAAGAGCACCAACGTGGATCCCTTCCGTGGGAAGATCAGCAGCCACCCGCCATACCAGCCCAAAACCAAGGGGTCAAAGGAGCGCCTCAATGTAGGCAAAGGGATGGCAGAACTTGAGGCGGAGTCAAACGAGGCACCAGCCAAGAATCCCTACGTAGCCGCAAGGGAAACCACGCCAACCTCCCTCGGATTCCTTTGGCTCTGACCTATCTCTGAGCAGGCCCTGCTAAAAATTCCTGCGCATAGGCCAGTGATGGCGAACCTTTTAGAGACCGAGTGCCCAAAAACTGGCCCTGCCCCCGCTCAACCCCGTCCCTCACCCCACCTTCCCGCAGGGCCACTCACCACCTCCAGGGTCCGTCGCAGATCGCCCAGGCAGCCCACCAGCGCCATGGCGGCCACGCCCTCTGCCCGTGCCCTGCAGCATCAACTGCGGGATGGGGCGTGAGGGCAGAGTCTTGGCTACGCTGCCTGGCTGCCATGTCCTTGGCTGCGCTGCTCCGTGTAGGCCACGCTCGGGGGCGACTCTCCTCCAGGGGGGCTGCTGGTGAGGAGGGGGTTGTGGGGGGGAGGCGAGGCTGGGACAATGGCACGTGTGCCCACAGAGAGGGCTCCGAGTGCCGCCTCTGGCACGCATGCCATAGGTTCGCCACCACTGGCATAGGCCGTTGAGTGATAAATCAGTTTAATTGAGCCTTCCCATGGGGGTCTTTCGTGCCTGACACCCACCCCTACGCCTAGTCAAAGCTTCTGGGCTCACCTTGCTGACCCTCCGCCGTCCAGGGACTGTTTTGCTGTAGCCTTCCATGTCCTCTTCTTCATCTGGAAGAGAAGCGGTGTGTGTGTGTGTGTGTCAGAGGAAGCATCAGGGGCTCCAAAGTCCTCCTGGACCCGTTGGGTGGGCCCCTCAGAGGGTTCCAAGGGCAGAGACCCTCTCCAACCCGTGCAAATTCTGCTCTACACAATGTCCGTGTCTCCCTCTTGTACGACGTCTCCCTTCTAACGCCGTCCTGTTCCCCATTAGTAGCTGCGCTCTGGGGCTGCCTTCCAGGCAAACTCAGGAGAGGGTTGAAGCGGTTGATGCCACGGGGAGGAAAACAAGGCTTGTTTGCTGCCCTCCCCCCATCTTGGCATTTCCAGGGGCAGTTGGCCCAGCGCTGTTGTGCGAAAGCGTCTTCCTGGCTTCCTCAGTCAGGGACCGACTCCAGGAACACCCCCAGGACTAGAAACCTGCCATTTCAGAGGGAGAAGCTCTTCTCTGGCACAGGCTGGTCCTGACTGCCTTTGGACCAAACGGGAAGAGCCAGGACCTCACCTGGATTCAGGTGGCATCCTCATCCCTGCCTTCCTTCTTCAGCAGGAACTCACAACGGTTAAGTGACAGTTTGACAAGTCAGGAAAATTGCAGCCCGCCCTTCGACCAGCTCCCACCCCCTCTCCTCCACCAGGAAGGGGCGAGACCTAAAAACTGGACTCCGTACAGGTGGCCCTCGACAGGTCATTTAGTGACCGTTCAAAGCTACCACGGCACTGGAAAAAAAATGACTTGTTTTTCACACTTACGACCGTTGCTGCACCCCCAGGGTCACGTGATCAAAATTCAGAGGCGTGGGAACTGGCTCACATTTAGGACGGTCGCAGTGATCCCCTTTTGCGACCGTTTGACCAGCAAAGTCAACAGGAGAAGCCAGATTCACTTAACAACCGTGTTACTAACTTAACAACTGCAGTGGTTCAGTTAAGAACTGCGGCAAGGAAGATTGTAAGACAAGGCAAAACTCACTTAGTAACTGTCTCGCTTAGCAACGGAAATTTTGGGCTCCGTTGTGGTCGTTAAGCTGAGGACTACCTGCTTGTCCAGAGCTAGAACAATCCACTTGCCCTCTTCTCCCACGCCACCCACAATGCTCACCGCTGTCAGAGAGCTCCACGTCGCTGGCCTCCAAGGTCTGGCTGTTCTGCAGCTCCTCTTCCTCGCTGCTCTCCCCGTCTGAGGGGCAGCCCTGGGAGGCGCGGAGGGCCTGCAGCCGGGCTGACGTCTCTGCCGTGGCTGCCGGCGGGCAGCCCCATCTCTGCTGAGAAGCTTGGAGGTGCTGCAGGATCTGAAGCTGACAGAGAGCGATCGGGGTGTGATCATCCGGCTTACGTCAAGAATGAAACGTTGGCAGCTAGGTGCCTCTTCGTTTCAACTTGCCATTAGAGTAAATGGGTGTGTGGGAGGCATTGCTTTAGAAATGGTGAAGGTGAAGAAACGAAACCCCTACGATTCCGCTGAAGACTGTGAGAGCCTGAAACCCTTCCAAGGACACGTCAGTAGGTGTGGAGAAGAGGCAGACGGTTCCCATAACAAAGCGAAATGGTTTACACAGACTACAGGAGAAGATGGGTTTTGGGCCGGACAGAGTATTGTTTAATCCTATGAACTGGTGTCTGGGGACCTCAGAGTTAGTTTTGCTTCGACATCACCACGCCGTGTATTCATGAAACAGTAAGATTGTCGGAAACGAAATGAGCTTGGACTTTTATTGGGATCGTTGAGCTGGGTGTTGGCAGCTTATTTGGAAGCACAGCTGTCAATCTGGCTCCAGGTCAAGCAAAGACGAACGATAGAGCGGCGTTCTCCAAACCTGGCGACTTTTAAGACTTGTGGACCTCAACTCCCAGAATTTAAGTTCACGAGTCTTTAAAGTCGCCAGGTTGGGAGACCCCTCCCTTCTATAGGAGGAGTCGGGAAAAATCCCGTTTTCTTGCGCGAGAAGCAAAATGTTTTGAAGGAAAAAAACCAAGAAAGTCCAGTTACTTTTTGAACCATGGTCCTTTCCAGTTTTCACCACCTTCTTTTCGCGAACCCCCCAAGAGCGCCCTCCCCGCTCACCTCCAGTTTGGGGTCACCGGCCTTTTGGGCACATTGCAGAGCGGCTTGGAAACAGGTCTCCAATTCTTGGTAGGTCTCGCCAGCCTCATCCTTGGCCAGGGTGATGTTCAGCCACGTTTTGCCCTCCTGGCGTGGACAGAACAGACCGAGCTTAAAAGCACTTAGATTTATTTTAATTAAGAAAATGTTAGAATGTAGAGAAATGGATAGATTAACCTTAGCGATCAAAGAGAAAGAAGAAGTACAGAGAAGAGCAACAAAGATGATCAGGGGACTGGAGGCTAAAACATATAAGGAACGGTTGCTGGAATTGGGTATGTCTAGTTTAACGAAGAGAAGGACGAGGGGGGACAGGATAGCAGCCTTCCAGTATCTCAGGGGCTGCCCCAAAGAAGAGGGAGTCAAGCTGTTATCCAAAGCGCCTGAAGGCAGGACAAGAAGCAATGGATGGAAACTAACCAAGGACAGAAGCAACTTGGAACTAAGGAGGAATTTCCTGACAGTTAGAACAATTAACCAGTGGAACAACCTGCCTCCAGAAGTGGTGAATGCTCCAACACTGGAGGTTTTTAAGAAGAGACTGGACAGCCATTTGTCTGAAATGGTCTAGGTTAGGTTTCCTGTCTGAGCAGGGGGTTGGACTAGATGACCTCCAAGGTCCCTTCCAACTATTATTATTATTATTATTATTATTATTATTATTATTATTATTATTATTATTATTATTATTATTATTATTATTATTATTATTATTATTATTATTATTATATTCAGTTTATTTTAGAACATGGGATAATTGTTACCAATGGTTAGGAAAACAAACTAGTGAGAAATGAATGTGATGTTATCTTGAATATATATAAGTAAGAAGAATGATATGTATTGACCAACTGATACTGTTTATGATTATCGCTTGTTATAATTACTATAGCTATTTACCATTATATTAATCAATGTTAACTGAACATATGGACCTGGACAACAATCTGCTTGCTAAAGCTTGAAAATTTTATTGGGGGGGTAACCCCAATGTTGTTTCTAATCCCGTCCTAACTCCAATCCCGATCCTAATCCCACCCCGAATCTTAATCCCTATCCTGGTCCTAGCCCTTCCCCAATCCTATAAAACTCAATAAAAATTTCTATTAAAAAAAGGCACTTACACTTATGTCCCACTTCCTAGTGTTTTACAGCACTCTCTGGGTGGTTTACAATGTCAGCGTTACTTGCATGTTTGCCCCCAACAATCTGGGTCCTCATTTTACCGACCTTGGAAGGATGGAAGGCTGAGTGGACCTTGAGCCGGTCAGGAACAAACTCCTGGCAGTGGGCAGTTAGCCTGCAATACGGTTCTCGAAGCATTGTGAGAGACTCCACACACCCACTTCACAGTCTGTTCCTGTTGCTCCCCTTTGGCAGGAGGTTTTGAAGTATTTATAGCAGGATTACCAAATTCTGTAACTGCTTTGTTCCCTGTGCCCTCCGTCTGGTAAACTCGCAAGATTCGTTTTTCTTTCATGTATATGTATAGATCTGAACTAGACTTATGTTGCTTCTCTGGGCCACGTATGTGTGCGTATATAATTTATTTTATTTATTTATTCTTTTGCCATGTTTATGCAGTGTATATTGTAGGTGGTTACCCTTTGAGAGCTGTATGCAATGAAATATCATTTTAGTGTGTGCTGATTAGTGTACATTTAAAGTGACAATAAAGTTATTTCTATTCTATTCTATTCCATATTTTCTATTCTATTCCATTCCATATTTTCTATTCTATTCTATTCCATTCCATTCTTCCATATTTTCTATTCTATTCTATTCTATTCTATTATTCTATTCTATTCTATTCTATTCTATTCTATTCTATTCTATTCTATTCTATTCTATTCTATTCTATTCCATTCCATTCCATTTTTTCTATTCTATTCTATTCTATTCTATTCTATTCTATTCTATTCTATTCTATTCTATTCTATTCTATTCCTATTCTATTCTGTTTCTGTTCTATTCTATTCTCTATTCCAGTGTTTCTCAACCTTGACAATTTTAAGGCATGTGGACTTCAACTCCCAGAATTCCACAGCCAGCATTGCTGGCTGTGGAATTCTGGGAGTTGAAGTCCACATGCCTTAAAATTGTCAAGGTTGAGAAACACTGCTCTATTCTATCCTATCCTATCCTA